CACACTTGCACATACTACATACACAGAAAGGTGGGTGGGGTGGATAGGTAGATGGATGGATGGATGGATGGATGGATGGATGGATGGATGGATGGATGGAAGGATAAAAGCAAGCTCTGTTTAACTATTTTCCCATAAAATAACCTGCAGGTGAATACAGATGCAGTGTAGGAGTTGGGAAAGGCCTGGTGTCCAAGGTTGAGGCAGAAAGAAAATTCAGAACCTACTGTAGTCAAATGGAAAGCCACATCCCCACCCGGGATAAATCTGAAGTGAATGATGGGGCTCACACATGTCAGAGCTGTGTTTGAGAGGATTGTTTCAACTTCCTGGGAGAAAATAGTAAATGGGCATCACCAGACAGTTCCCAGAATAGAGACCTGTGACCAATGGGAAATGTTCAACCAATGTGCTAATTGTGTGTGTGCCTATGTATGACTGCGGGTTCATGCATGTGCTGTCAGAGGAAAACGCTGGGTGTCTGCCTGTCCTCCCCTTCCACCTTGTTCTAGTCAGGGTCTCCCAGTTGTTTACTGCCGTGGGTACCTGTCTCTACCTCCCATCTCCCCACAAGAGTACTGGGTACAGGCATATGCTCCCCCAGGAGTGCTGGGTTAAAGCATAAGCTACCATAGCCAGCTTATTTGGGTTCTAAGAATCCAAACTCTAGTCACCACGATAATTCAGAAAACACTTTATCCTCCAAACTGTCTCCGCAGGCCAGCAGTAATTTTTTTTAAAGCACATCAAGTCAAGATGAAACCATAGATTTTTTTTCCTTACAGGGTGGGAAACAATGGTGATTTCTGGCTTGTAAGGTTATGATGAAGTTTTCAGAGTCCATACTTGTAGGAGGGAGGCTTCATTTCCTGCAGCAGGTTCCTTCCGCTGTACTCAGCAGAAGTCACTTGTCACAAGGCAAGGCTTGTGACCACCCTTCACGGAGCATATCCATCAAATAACACAGGCTCAGTTTGTGTCTCTCACATTTTGGTAATTCCTAGGGAATGTCAAACTTTATTATGTTATGATGACCCACGATCAGTGACCTTGGATGTTATGACTTAACTGGGGTGCCACAAACAAGGTGATGCTTTTGATATAATGAATGCCACATATGTTCTGGCTGCTCCACCATCTGGCCATTGCTCTCTCTTTCTCTGGCCTCCCTGTCCCCGGAGATAAAACACTGAAATTGGAACAATAACTCTACAGTGGCCCCTTAGTGTGAGAGCAAAGCACAGTCTAAGGATCCTATTTTGAATCAAAAGCAAAAACATCACTCAGTGAGAAAAGCATGCTGAGAGCTGAGTGGCCTGAGAGCCAAGCTTCTTGCAACAGAATACCAGGTTGTGAAGGCAAAGGAGAGGCCTGGAGGGGAATTAAAAGAGCTACTCCAGGCCTGGAAAGATGGCTCAGTGCTTAAGTACTCCTCCAGTTCTTGCAAAGGACCCAAGTTTATTTCCCAGCACCCACCTAAGGTGGCTCACAACTACCTGTAACTTGTAGAGCTTCAGGGGATCCTGTGTCTCTGGCCTCTCAGGTACCTGCACTGATGGGCACATACCCACACCCAGACACTTAATTTAAAATAATAAAAATAAATCTTTTCGTAAAAAAGAAGGTGCTGGTCCAGTAAGCACACAAATGCTAAGGAAGCTAGCAGCCCTCTAACTGCTAGGGAGGCTTTCTGAGTGGTCCAGAGGGACGCTCAAATAAGCAATGGTGTTGCCTGAGGCTGTGACCTAACCCAGAGTGATGCTCCAACCCTCAACTCTGGCAAAGCTGAAAGGTGAGGAAGTTGCAGAAGCTTGCAGTGGTTCATGGGATATAATCATGCTCCCAGCATGTAGTGCGAGGATACGCATCGGGTGCTGATGGGGAAAATGGAGTAAGCCATTCAGAAGATGGACCAGAGATAACCCTCAAAGATAGTTGCACCCCACACCCAATTCTCCATGTGGACCAAAGAGCCCGACAGACCAGGCGACTCCATGAAAATCTGACACAGCTACACAGAAGTTGGTTCCTGGCTTCAGAGCTTCAAAGACTGAGCTGTCTCATTAAGGGCTTAGACCTCTTAGAGGTTTAGATGTGAAGTCTAAGCCAAGGTCATTTAAAGTTCTGAATTGCCAAGAGCCTGACACTCCTTCACCTGTGCTCTGTCGATGGAGTCAGGCACATCTATATATAACCTGGGAGTGCATTGTTGAGACCTAATGCTAAAGAAAAATAAAGATTCCTTCCAAAACAGCGCCAGTGATTGACAGTGCACCTGGTCACTGCACAGCTATGATGGAGACATACAGAGTGAATGTTTACCTCATGCTGCTAAGGTGACAGTCTGCTCTGCAGCCGGTGCCTCAAGGAGGAATACCAACTCTCAGATTTGATTGTCTGAATCATAGATGTTCATAAGGCTGCCACAGATAGGAATTCTTCCGAGGGATCTGGTCAAAGTTAATTCAAGAGCTTCTAGAAAACACACATCATTTTAGATGGCGAGAAGAGCATCCAAGATTCATGGGAAAGGACAAGATATTGACGTTAACAGTAGCTTGGGAAGGGATGATTCCAACTCTCACAGGTAACTTGGAATCACCCAAGACTCCCACAGAGAGAGTGTCGCCACTGGTGTGGTGGACACAGCAAAGAACCCGATCACAAGTGGAGTATGAAGATGAGACTGAAGGGTTGTGATCTTAGGATATAAGCAAAGATGGTGGTGTCTTCAGCAAAGATGGTGGTGTCTTCACCATAGCTCTTACTCCTGGAGACCCTGAGATCCTCTCAACCTGGGAGGTTACAACTCCTTTGATGTGGAATGGCCCTTTCCCAGGGATTGCCTAAGATCATCTGGAATATTTACATTATGGATATTTACATTATGGTTCATAACAGCAGCAAACTTACAGGTCTGAAGTAGCAATGAAAATAATTTTATGGTTGGGGGTCACCATAGCATGAGGAACCGTACTGAAGGGTCACAGAGTTAGGAAGGTTTAGAATCACTGTTCTAACATGGCAAAGAATTGAGAATGCCCCAAAAACTTGGCCGATGGCAGCAGCAAGGTCTGAGGTTTGGAAGGAGTTTTCCTGGTCATAAAATATGGAACTGAGAACTCTTGACTTGAAAGGAGGAGTCAGTGGATCTGGGAAACTTCACTGTTGTCTTATCTTAAGAAATGACCACAGCCACTCTTCAGCCTTCAGCAGCCACCTCATTAGCCATGGTCGATGTTGCTGCAAGACTCTCCACCAACAAGATCGGCTTGCTGGGGGTTCAGGCAACATCTTTCAGCAAGGAAATATTTCTCAGTTAGGGTATATGGATTTTTAAGGCATCATACTTAGGCTGGAGAGATGACTCCATGGGCAAGAACATTTGCTACATAAACGTGAGGACCTGAGTTCAAATCCCCAGCACTCAGGTAAAAAGCAGATATGGCTGCACATGTCTTTCACCCCAGTGTCATAGGGAGCAGAATCAAAAGGATGGCTGGGTCTTGCTGGGTTCCAGCCCAGCTCCAGGCTCGGTGAGAGACCCTGTGTCAAAGGAACAAGGCAGAGAGGGATGGAGTAGGACATTCGCCTATGGCCTTCCCACACGTGCACATAGGCTCATGCTCTGGTACACACAGGTGTGCATATACCAAATGCACACCATACATACACACACAGACATCGCATTGCTGCACATTTAACTAGAGAAGAGTGGAGATATAACTTTTAACAAACACTGAGTGTGGGAAAATGTCTCGTGACTCAATTAGTTAGCTTGTTTGGTTGGTTTGTGGAGTTGAACCACTCCTTGCAATGCCTTCAAGCTGGTTTTACCATCCTTTTAGTGATGCTCCGGGTCTGCTGCTGCACTGACCCGTGCCGTATTGTATCTAAGGAGCTTTCTTTCCTCACTGGTACATGCCCGGTTGTCTGGCGTGTGTCTTCTGGCTGTCTGAAGTGGCGTCCCTGTGACTGATGGCTGCACGCTCAGCGCCATCTGACAGGATGCAAACACCAAGCTCCTCAAGAACCTTGAAGGTCTCCAGTTTCCCTGCCATCCACTACAGATCAATTTTCTTATTTTTTTTTCTGTGCACTCTTATGTACCCCAGGCTGGTCTCTTGCTATCCAAGGGTCTTTCCATGCTGAAAAGCAAAGTTCTTAACCTGATTTGAGACCCAACTAGGTATCAAATGAAAACCAGTCTCCCCCAGGTCACTAGGGAGGCTTTCAGATGGCAGCCGAGTCAGTAACCGTGAAATCCTCACTCAGAAAGAAAAAGTCAGCAGCTGTTCTCTGCAGCCCCCTTTCTCTGTTTTTGTAGGATTTGCTTTCCTTCTCCATGCCCTGTGGCCTACCCCAGGGTTGCTGGTTTAGCTCTTTGGCATGGACTATTAAGTTCTCTGTCTTTCCCTTTCTCTCTCTTCTTCTCTTCCTTTCCCTGTTCCTCAGCTCACCAGGTTTCTTTTTCTCCTTCCCCCTTCCCACCCTCCCTGCATCTCTGCCCTGCAGAGGACTTTTCAGACCTTCTCAGGGCCTTTGCCCATGGGCCCTGCTCTACATACACCTGCTCCCTGCTCCCTCCACCTCTCCCCTGCTCAGGTAGTGTTGATACAACAAGACCCCCTCAGATCAAAAATTGCTACGAGAGAGACCACATCCGAGCAGAAAGCAGAGCCTAGGAAATGGTCCCAAAAAAGGATAAGAACATTCCAGGAATGAAGAAAGACAGACCCTGTGCTTTCTTTGACTCAAATGAAGTAGTGAGGTAGTCTCCCTCTCCCTCTGGACCCACCACCAAGGTCTTCTCTGCCATCTCCGTGGGTTGGCATCCCCTGTGCAGAGGGGCTTGTGTAGGGGTAGATGCCCCATCACTAGGTGACTAGAAGTTCCTACTGAGGGCCCCACGTTCGGTGTGACACTAATGTGTTCAGCAGGGTCTTCACCAGAGAGGTGGGAAACCCAGGCAGGAGCTCATTGGTGCTTTTTTCTTTCAGTGAGACCATCATGTTCCTACATCAGATCTTCTACCAAGGCCTGAAGGCCCGCATCTCCAGCTGGCCCACCCTGGTGCTGGGTGAGTAGCCACCCCCCTGGGACCCCATGCTCAGCGCAGGAGACAACTCTGTCCCTTTCAATCATCACAGCAAGTTACCCTGTAGACCCCAGAGTCCCTGAGAAGAGAAAGACAATAGCCACGTGCTCTTAGGAAAAAATGAGGTTTTCCTTGTTGCCTATCCACTTTCCTTTTCAAGAGACCACATGTCCACCCAGGAACATGCACACTCAGAAATGTCTCAAACTCCAGAAAAGTAGGAAACATTTAAAATGTCACGGTCATTCTGTATCCCAAAGACAACCACCCCAAATACTGCTGTCTGTGTTCCGCTGTCTGTGTTCCCTTCCACATTTCCCTACACAGAGGTCCTGAGCATCTGAGAGTTTTATTTTCCTGTCTTTACACAGCCAAAAAACTTAATGAGCTAAACACTTTGAAGCCTGTCTATAGCAGACATTTCTCATTTGTTTACTTACACTAAATTGATTACATTATACTGGGGACTTTTGTTTGGATTGTTTTGGGGTTTTTTTTTTCTTTATTGCTTTGAGACAGGGTCTCAATTGTATCCCTAGTTGCCCAAACAATGCTGTTATGTTTTAAATTAACTTCATAGGTGGAACATTTTTTTCACACCCAGTTTTTTCATCCTGAGTTTTTTGGTGGCCGTATAATGTTCCAGTGTCCCCAATTATACATACTATGATCAGCTAGCTCTTCTATTGGTTCTAAATTGTTACAAAAATTTAGGGGCATTTTCATGAAATAGGTTTCCAGAAGTTGAATTACTAGAACAAAGGCTCCGGCTTCATCTCCATGGCATTGAAAGCTGTACTGTCGGGTCCCAAGAATGAGACACAGCTGTACCCATACATTATACCAGACCTGGGTCAGGCTGGTGCTTCTTTGTCTCTTTCTCACATTCTCACTGTAGTAAGGAAAGGTGGTCACCAATGCTCCCTTCTCAATAGGGGGAGACCCACTGTCAGATCAGACTTAGCTCTCCAAGTCCCCTCCTCCCTTCGGATATTTCTCTTGTCAAAGAGCCTTGTAACATGAGGGCCGGCTTGTTGGGGTTTCCATCCCATCCGGTACCCCAACAGCCGGCAAATCCCAAAGAGAAATTACACACAGGACTCCATAAGGTTATAAACTGATTGGCCCATTAGGTCAGGCTTTTTGTTAACTCTTATAACTTATATTAACCCATTATTTTTATCTATGTTAGCCATAATGGCTCCGTACCTTTTTTAGCTGGGCAAGTTGCATGTTGTCTCTTTGGTGGTCTGTACAGGAATGGCGAGGGAGTTTTTTTGTTTTCCAGAATTTTCCTTTTTTTATTGTATTACCTCACTTTTTGTCTGGTTTTTTTTGTCTATATTGCCTGTCTGGCCAATCAGCGTTTTATTAAAATATGATTGACAGAATTTAGACAATTTTTTGTATCATTTTTTTTTAAACAAAGGAAAATACACATTGTTGGGAATGTGGGCGTAGTATTTTAGGCTACTTTTTGTTGGTTGGGGGCGCTGATAATCTTATGGGGACCTAAGGAAAACTTAGAGTTATAATCAAGTCATGACTGGAGTATCCTGTGAGTCTTGATTATCTTAGGCAGCAGTCTTGAACCTGTTTTGGATGAAGAACTCAGACATCTGGGCCATTTATTTCTGTTGGAGATTTTTTAGGTGGCCTCCCTTGAGCAAAGATGATTTTTTTTAACTCAGAATGAATTTATAGCCTTTTATTTTTTGTGAAAACAAAAGCAAAATCTCTTCTCCAAAGTAACATACCTTTTGACTTTAGTTTTGAAGCCAAGGTATTTTTAAAATACCTATCTTGGGTTAGTTTAGCAGCATTTAAAAACAAAAGTCTTTTAGCAGCTGTTGTTCCTTTCTCAGTATTTAAACAATTTAAAGAGAGCATAATAACATACAGTATCAAGATTTTTTGTATATTTTTTATCTTTATGTTAGCTTTATTTTAACCTCTATTTTTTTATTTTGTTTTTTATCTTTTGGCTTTTTGAGACAGGTTTTTTGTATATCTTTGTCCTGGAATAACTCTGTAGACCAGGCTGTTTTTGAACTCATAGAGATCCTCCTGTCTCTGTCTCCCCAGTACTGGGCTCAAAGGTGTTTGTTACCACACCTTGAACTTACAGAGATTCACGTGTCTCTGCTTTCCCAGTGTTAGGATTAAAGGCGTGTGTTACCACACCTTGAAGTCACAGAGGTCAATCTACCTCTGTCGTCCAAGTGTTGGGATTAAAGGTGTGTACCACCACACCCAACTACTTTAGTTATCCACGTCTGGGCGCGATATGTAACATGAGGGCCGGCTTGTTGGGGTTTCCATCCCGCCCGGTACCCCAACAGCCGGCAAATCCCAAAGAGAAATTACACACAGGACTCCATAAGGTTATAAACTGATTGGCCCATTAGGTCAGGCTTTTTGTTAACTCTTATAACTTAT